CAAAGTGCATCACTGACCCGGGTGGACTGCGCACCACAATGGATGCCTTGCTTGGGACACTTCCTCCTCAGTGACAGCACCTACTTCAGAGTAGCAACCGGCCCATTCTTCCTGCTTTAAGACCCAAACAACATCAAACAACACCACCAGGCCCGTTTCACCCCGATAAAGGAGACTCTTGATTAATAAGCCTCCCATATGTTGAGGCAATATACTAAGGCTTTGTGTGGACGCGAACCGCCCGCAAGTTCGTGCATTTCTTGGGTGGCAATCGACCATGTCTGCTACGTCTCTGTTTCATCCTTCGGACGGCAAAACCAAGTCGATCCGGGGCCGCTTCAACCTGTTCGGACCGGAGCGAACACCGTCTTCAGCCGCGCCATTGGTCTCCCGGCCTGGGATCTCAACTCGTTTAGCCTTAAAGAGGTCAAATCCTCGGGGGCGCCAATTCCAAGCAGCCGCGGTTCCGCGGTCGATGCGTTTTGAACGGCGAGGACGACATGTCAAGGACATGGGTCGGCCGAGGGCGCCCATGGTGGAGGAATTTCAAAGCTGAAAATCTGATCCCATCATATCCCATCATGGAGGAATCCAAAAAGGAATCTAAACCTGAAACACCTGCCATCTTACGCCCTTTTCAGCCTCTGACGTTGATTTGTATTTTTCTCTGGAAAAGGCAACTATAATAACTTTGGACAGACCCCTGAAACGGTGGCTCTTTCGTGTCTTAGCAGGTGCTTCCTGGCTTGGAGGGTTTTGAGAGCAGTTCACAGGCAAATTGCGATAAGAAGAACTCCCTTTTCTGCTCCTTCTCACTTAGGCTTGACTGTAGGAGGTTTTTCTTAAGAAAACAGGGGGTGGCTTCACACTCAGCCAACGAAAACTCATCCCTCTTCGCTCGTGGTCGAGGTCTTTGTCGAATTTTTGCCATCACTGAGCCTTCTGGCCACCACTTCCCGTATCTTTTCGCATCTTTCGCCCTGTTCTCATGCGTGGGTCGACATGGCACTTTGAGAGCATGTCGACGGCACATCAGTGGCATTAATAATGATGTACCGTGCACCCGTCTGAGGAGCTGCCTTTGCGGGTTTGACCCAGCGAAGCAAGCCGGAAAATCAAGCTCGTCAATCGAAACATAGACCCTGTCGGACTGCTCGGACCCTCCAAAGCTAGGAACTGGTAGAAAACAGTATCAAACAGGAAGGACTTATATAGGCCTGTAAGCACTTGGGGACTCCAAATAACACCTGACATTCTGACCACATAACCAATATCAAGAGTGAGGTCTGTAGGCCCGGACCTGGTGAGTACGTGCTTCCAGAGAATGGTCGAACGGGGGGCCATCGTCAGGATGGTCCTGGACCCTTAGGGTTTCTATAACAAGCCATTGGCTCTGCAGAGATTCATAGAACATTTTGTAAACTGCACGGCCATGAAATACTGCTCCTGTAGACTCTGTAGACTGCGAAACACTGCTTGTTCAAGGGAAACAACAAAACCTTTGTGCCATGCATTGAAAGAACACATTTATAGCCCCTGTTTTGGGTCTGTTGGCTACCCCTTGTTCTTCATGGCATCCGAAAGTCAGAACACTTTGAAAGCCCAGTGTCTCATACCATTGATTCCTCCGCAAAGTGAATACATTATACATACATCCAAAATAATGCACCAGTAAACCAAACTCAGAACAACTAAGAAACAACACTGTTTGTTTTCCCCACAACTTCTCAAGAAGGAGAGCGCGTCTCCACAGAAACCAAACACAATGACAACGCCTGGAGTTGACCGGCCACCAAGTACTGGACCACGGAAGTACCGGCCACCGGACTCGTACCGGTACGTGCGTGTCTCATGTCTCCCAAATTGGATGAGCTTGCCGCGGACTGCTCGTGCGCGCACACTTACACACACTCTTCTGCAGGCAACAAGAAATAAGTGACAAAAGTTGCGGACCTATACAAACAATGTCCACAGCATGTGGATACATTTGTCTTCGATCTACAGATTACTAAGGACCTATAGAAACTTGATGTAGTTCCAATGCTTTTCTGTATGATCCAGGGTCTCTTTTCGCGACGGGCGCACGCCCTAGCAACAAGGACAGCACACAAGGAGGTGGCTGACCACATATTAAATAGTGCATGTGTAAACATGTATAAACCATAAATATACACATACGTATCTCCTGAGGATGTTCTTGGAGGTGAAAGTGCTTGCAAAGAAAGGTTTTTGGACCTGAAGGACATTCGATTCCCTTAGGGAGCTGTAAGTTTTCTACCTCATCGTCATAGTCATAGTTGTAGCATGTTGTATATAGTATACGACTTCACCATCCTAAAAGGTTAGGCAGGCTCAGCATGTGCCCCCATGGGTGAAACAACACACTAGCAAAAGGGAAACCCCGTTGCCGTTGGGAAAGGGATTGCCAACATTAAATGATGACACGCGCATGATGTGGTCCACAAACTTGAACACAAAGGGAAACATGGCCCAACAGCGTTTCAAGAAAATCTAAATTCCGATCCTGCCCTGCATGGTCCAAAGCATTCCCATCTCTCCTGAAACCCAATATGGATCCACATACCCTCAACACTCGAGGGCAATGTGTTCAACACTTTCGATGGCAATGCGATGTGTGAAGGCGAAACCTATCGAAAGCGGAGGTACCACAAGGGCCCGGGCCCTAAAAGGACGACATTTCGTTGGAAGAGTCCTAGGGATATGGGGGACCCATGGGAAGGCTTCATCATAATGTCTCAATCCCGTGTTTGAGCCGCAGATTTCTCCGCCCTTGATTGGGTAAGATTGACCATGAAACTGGGAGCGTTCCATGGTTTTAGTTCTCATATGGCCTACAAACATCAACTCCAACGCATATTGTTTGTCGTCTTGTGGCAAAACCATCTCGGAGTCTGGCAACTGCGTGCCCATGGGCACATCTCTATCTCTCAACTTCGTGTGCGAGCATGGTCTTTCAGGTCATCCCAGGGCTTCCTAAGACCGTGCAGCGGGGCAAACGCGGCGCAGCGAGGTCTTTCGGTGCGGCGCGCTGAGGTGTCGTTTAGGGCTTTGGCGTTTTGCGGGTAAGCAGTTCCAGAACCCTGGAAGATGCAAGAACAATTTCCTGACCCCTTTCAGGTATGAAACACTACCCCGAGTGGGGTAGCTGGTTTAATACGGTTTAATGATTGATCTCCTCATGTGGAAAAGACATGTGTTTGTTAATTCGCATACAGGCATACAAATAAGTTGACATGGCAACACTTTTAGACTTTTGGGTGGTTGTACAGTACAGGTCGTGGACTCTACATGACGCTGCATCAAACTTCTGGCCTCCCTCAAGCTGGCATAATCTTTGGGGTATATCCCAGAATTGCTCTCAGGAAAAACCAGGAAACCCATGGTTTTGGGGGTGTAATTTGGCGCCTATCTCGCCATCCGGAGCCGAGCCAAACCACACCGCGCAAAAGCCTTGCAAACAAACCACACGCGCCGCTGGTTGCCGCTGCTTTTTTGGTGAGCGATAAGCAACCCCAAAACATAGCTGATGGCGATAGAAATCCCCGTCTTTCGTCAGGCACTTTGGGATTGCGAGACGATCTCTGCTGATGCGGGCAAATGGATCTTTTTGTTGTTTTAACCTTAGATTGTGGTCTTTGAGACCACAAGTGCACATGACTCTAAACAAAGGGTACTTGAGCAGGTACAAACCCCACTGCGCTAAAGCTGAAAGTAGGCTTGCCAACCTACTGAGAGTAGTGGTTACCCTAGGCGGGCCGCCGTGCTGCCAAGCTTCGTGCGGACCATGAACCTCAAAGGGCTGGGAGTAGACAGGTATAGATGCCAGGTGCCATATAGCTATTGGATAAAAACGACCGGGGGATATCCCCTCTCTTACAGCAATCAACCAACCGGTCGGGCGGTCAGGCGATCTATGATTTGAGCAGCAACCTGCTTTGAACTGTTGCCACGCAGTGTTTCCAGAGACGCAGTACAAACTGTTGCCACAGCGTACAGCATAATTTGCATCGTTTCACAAAGTCGAAGTCTAGAAGGCTCTATGGCTACAATGTAGAATTGATACATAAAGGTGCCTGGTGAGCGCAGCGGACGTGCAGCAATTGCTCATGGTCAAACAACCCTACCAGTCCAAGTGGCTCGTCCTTGCCGTTGCTCTTGATGTCCTTGCCGTTCAATGCCGATGCTGGATGGTGTGCGTTCGTTCGGAGCTTTGGTCTGGGGCAGCTAGGTACATCGGGCTGCTGTCGTTCACCGTTAGCCTGGACCTAGCCATGCCCTGTGATGGCAACACATCGAGAAGCCCATTGAGTCTGGAGTCTCAGTTCTTACCTCCGAAAATGAGTACAAGCATTTGCTTCGGGTCATGTGACATGTTTCTAGGGCATGACCGAGACGTCGGCTCCCGGTAGAGTTTACGAGTTGAACCCAAAATAGTGTCCGGAAAGTGTGCGTATTGTCCAGGTTGGTGTGAAGAACTGAACATGCCCAGTCAGTGAAAAAGACATGACGGCACAGTCGATGGAAGCTGCCATATTCTGCGATGAAACGCCAACATTTTAGTTTAAAGATGTTTAACGTTTAAAGTAAGTCCATGTAAGTCCCATCAGACTGAATTCTGGCACATATATATTAGAAACATCAAGATCAAACACTGTCGAAGTTCATCGTCGAGTTGGTCGGGACACGCCTGGACCCCATTCTGCAAAGCTCTGCTTCTTCTTTGCTTTTTAGATATGTCCTTTCCTTCCTTGGCTTCCTCTTCATGTTTTCCTTCCTTCCTTCCTTTCTTCCTTCCTTGTTTGCTTTCTTGTTCAGTTCTCGTTTCATGTGAAATTGTGTGTTTCTTTTCTCCTTCTCTACCACCTTTCTGCCTTTGTCAAATTTATCTTTTCTCACCCAATCTCTCTCTACACTATTACCAAATTCTGCTTTCTTCTGAATTTGTTCTTTTCCTTTCCAACTTGGACCCCTTACATAACTTATGCCGGCCCCCTTCCTGTCCCAATATATCTCACATCATGCCAAGTCTCCAAGGTGATCTTATCTCCATAGCTCACCTTTTGGCCTTCCACCATTTCGAAGCGCAGGAACCGCAGGAGCTCCACCGTGATGGTCTTGGCTTCGAACAAGGCCATGTCCATCCCCAAGCAAATTCCTTGGTCCAACCGGGACCCGTTTGTTTGGATGAAGACTGAACACCGAAGGATCCAGTTTTACGACGGAATCCTTGGTTACGTGCGCCCATCTCCTTTCCGCCCCTGAAGTCCCATGCCGTGCTCTATCCAAAAGCCCGCGCGCGCGCCCTATCCATTCCCGGCGCCGACACCCGGCGCCGCTTCCGCGTTCCCCGAAGTCGCGCGGGGCACTCCGCGAGGCGCAGGCCCAAGCGGCGTGGTCCGGCCTGGAAGACGGGGAACCTCGGACGTCTGGGCGACAGCTCGTACAAACCCCGGGGCTCAGGACCGAGCTCTCTTGACGTCTCCTGGTCCTTGGTCCTTGATGAAGCTCATGTGGTGTGTATATATATACATATATACTAGCTGTATAATATGTATCTGATTGTATCTGTATAGTGTCTTTTGGTATTCGCGATGAACTTCAGTCATAATGCGGTCCTTGACGGTTAATGTAGACTGTTGATGAATCAACCCCCGAGGCCCGAGGGATGTTAACTGTTGGATGGTCCACCGACTACATCAAAACCACTATTGTCACACCTTGAAAGCCTTGAAGTTGCCTGGCCATCCAAATGATTTGGATGTAAGTGAAGTGGTAAAAGAAAACATGTCTTGCCCTGGCCATTCAAGCCACTTGCTGTTTTCGCCCCTGTTTTCCGTCTTCCATGGCGAGGGCAGGGAGCATTGGGTGGGGCCGGACCTCAACAAATATCCCTGATAGATCCAAGAAACGTGGTCTTTGTCGCTAGCTGTTGTCTTTTCCTATGACATGGTCGTTTTATGGAAATCAAGTTTTGCTGGGGAACAAAAAGGTGACTTTGCCTGAGGCTCTGAGGATTCCTGAAAAGGGAGAACGTTGGAATACGTTGGACACTCATGCTTTGGGCTTGGGTATAGAGAGAGAGAGAGAAAAAAAAAAAGAAGAAAAAACACACACAAACACGCAAAACAGCGAATGAAATGGCAGAAACACGAAGTCACAAAACACCCATGACTTATGGGGCATTAGCATTAGCTGGCTATAAAACCATTTGCCATAGACTCATTAGCATCAGCAAAATGTCTCAGCTCTGGGGGCAGGTCTTCTTTAGTTTAAGGAGTGAGGCGGGATTTCATACAAACAGCCCCATGTGGGTCCGCTTCACAGCTTCTGTGGGAAAAGGTCCATAAGACCCTCTTGTCAGGGCCAGTTCAGAAGGAACCATTCCCAACAATCATGAACACACACATCAATTAAACACCTATTGAACACTGTATCCGTATCTTAAAACCCAAACGCTCCATGTATATATAATATATGACCATCCCGATGTATGCACATACATCCAGATGGAGCGTATGTGAAGAACATTAAAAAGAACATCTGACGATGCCCTTCCTGGTTGTTTTGAGCTCCTTCCCCGGCTCCCAACACTGCCCGATGTTGTCCAAGGTGCTCATGATGGGCTGGCGGAGTAAAGGGAATCCAACGCTCCGGGCGGAAGGCCAAAGGTTCCTGGGCCGTCTGCCGCAAGAGACGAAAGCTGCCAGGTGGATTTGTGAGGCTCTGGTCTTTCCCTCATGTTTGGAGCTGGAAAAGCACTCCATAACACTCCCATTTCCGCATGTTGCTGGACCGCAGGGTCTACCGTTCGGTGATCGTTCGGTGGAACGGCTCTGCGCCAGAAATGGAACATTGATCTATGACCCTTGCGGTGTCCAAAGACCATCTATGGTTTCAACCAAAAAGGTAAAGTTAAGTCCAAACACGGAAATTCCCGGACACGTACCCCACCAAGATGTGATGTTTGGTAGAATCAAACCATATTGGGATATATTGGGTGTATCTCATTCCCTGGTTCCCATGGATGATGATGGTTCAGTTTGCAGGGCCTTTCCATCTTATAACTATTACAGGTCATGGGACACTACTTGACCCACCGTTGGAGGTTCTTCCTGGTTCTTCAGTTCGTGACCCAACTTGATCAGCCTGCTTTTTTTGGACAGGTCACTTACCGTAGGCCTGTTGGACAGGTCACTGGAAGGGACTCCAAAAAGGTCACGTAATGAAGAAGCTGGCACAACCTGTTTCAATAGCGCCATGTGCCATTTTCTGAGGTACAACCTGCAGGGTCTAGGTGGTTGTTCCCCCTTCGGCTCAGCTTGTTTTTTTCGTTTGGCTTTGGACTTCAGGACCCTCCCCGCGGCTCCGGCTGCGTGCATGACTTGGGCGCTGGATAGCGTGTGGCGTCTCGACCCATGGCATAGGGCACGTACGCGATGGTGGACCACTTGGGGATGGTGAAGCCACCTGGTGAAAGGATGCATCGATGGAGAGAGCACTGGAAGGGTGTGACATGGTGAAACTGGTGCCATGATGTGCCATGTGGGGGGAAGTCGCGTGATGGGGAGCATCACATCTTGACAAATTTGCTGCAAATTGTGGCTTATAGTATGGCTTAGTGAAATTAAGGATCCTCATGATCACAGGCCAAAGGGCCCGGCTTGAAGTTTGTTGCAGCCGGAAGGACCTCACTTTTGCTCGTCAGGAAGCTTTGATATAGCTGGGTGATGCTGAGTGTGCTTGTGGGCACTCCAGCTTCCTTGACACACTGAGTTCATCGACTGATCCAGTCAATCTTGAGTTGGGCGAGTTGGCACTCCAGGCCCCCACGGCCAAATATCAATACCTCCCGACCTCTGGCTGAACTCCCGACCTCTGGTTGAAGTTTCTTCACTTCCAGATCAACCTGAACCCTCCTATTCGTACCCTGACCTCATCTTCCATTCCAAATCTTGAGATGCCCCTCTTTGGACAAGGAGAACGGTCTCTGTGACAAGGGTTCCCGACTCTGGCACCACATCAAACCCGAACAGAACGTTCCCCAGCCTGGCACCACATCGTCTTCGAACCTGGCGGACGTCTGAAGGAGCCTTCAGGGGCCAGTGATCGCTACCACGTAAAAGGCTTGGACTGAACACAGGTCGTACTTCAGAAAATGGGATGTGAACAAGAAACACAGGTGCTTGCTACTCATCTTCCGAGATATGAACTGAGACTCCAGGTGCATTAGAAGGGGGGGAATATGCAGTGCTTCATTGATTAGAATGTCTTGGCCATGTTCATGGAGTACTGAAAAGGTCGTTCGATCTTCTGCCTTTTAACCCAGAATCCTCGGACCCTGCCAGTCTTAGAAAAAGCTTCTAGCCGCCTGAACCATCCCATCAGGAGTCATCAGGGTGTAAACATGTCTCAACCACCCCACATAATCTAACCCCCACCTCTACCACTGACTCCTACTATGGTGTAATTAAAACCCTATGGATGCGCCATGATGCGCCTAACAGGGCCAAGCTGAACCCTCCAGTTAGGTAGCTGTAGTGTCCCATATATCAACACAGCAACTGGGGCCCTTTGTCGCTACGAATGGGCCAAACAGTGGCTGGCTCCCTCCCTGTGTTGAGGCAAACGAGTGGATCCTTAACCGAGCATCGCAACGTCTCTGGTTTTTTTTTCTCTTTTTTTTTTGGGGGGGTGAGTAAAACAGCGCTTCTTTCGGTCGTCATCTTGCGGTGCGTCGAAGGGTCGCCATCTTGGGATCCAAGGGCACTGGAGGCCACAGCCTCAAGGTCTCCTCAGTTAGTGATCGGAACTGATGTGATGTGTTTCCCGGCTGAGTGATCTGATCGCTGAGTGATGAGCAGCGAGTTAACGCATTTGGACACCACCAATTTAAATTCAAGCAAATGGTCTCAGTCCGGTTCAAGGTAACACTGCATAAGTTACATAAGTCAAAACACACTGCATCACCTTGTGGTTCTTCAGTTCGTGACCGATCAGGAGACATCGTTCGTTGCTTCGGGCAGTTTCGCGAAACAGGCTGTCGGTAAGTCGGTCAGGATGGGACGAAGCAACGAACGAAGCTGAACGACCAGCACCACGGATTTCGGGTGTCCATTCATAGCCCCGAGGCTTAGAGGTCAAGGGGTATCCATGAAGCACCCCTTAGAAGGGTGTCCACTACTTCATCGCCCCGAAAAGAGGTGAGTGATTCGGGGTGTCCATGAAGCACCCCTTTAAAGCACTGCCGGTACATGACTATTACATCTGATCCAGGACCCAAGGGGTGTCGATTGATAGCCCCAAACAGCCGTGATTCGGGGTGTCCATGTCTACCACCCCTTGAAGGCCCTGGATGATGTCATGATCTGTGACGATGTCGTGATCCCATCATGTCCCAATTGATCGGATCCTTTGTTGATCGGTTGCGCTCACTCCAAGCCGTTCAGTCTACGACAGCTTCGCTGGTCACCAAACCCCGAATCTCGGACTGAGCCCGGTTGGGGGGGAATCTCGAGGCATCTCGAGGCTTTGGAAGTTGGGATATGCTGGACTCAAGAGCAGTTCATGTCCTCCAAATGCTCTTCGTACCTGCAACAGTCTTCCTACTCTGCGGCATCTGTCTTTGGTGGGTTCAAGGGGTTGGCATGGGTTGGCGATGGGGATGCCGGATGTCAAAGATGTCGGAGGTTCTGGTTGTGACCAAAAGATCTCAAGCTTGGGATCTCGGCCTGGAACCGTTTTCAGGACCTGGAAATCTTTTGAGATTTGAGAATTCCACCGCCAAAGCTTCCAAATTCAAGACATTCCAGTACACTATAGTCGTGCGTCCCACATGTTTGGGCCGTGTCCACGAGCTACCGACCGATTGATCTGTCCACCCTGGGTACCAGTCCTGCAGACGTGGGTCCATGCGTCTGCCACAACGTCGGTGCAGTGGCCCCATGCGGACCCCACGGATCAAGTCCCAGCTGAGCAGTTTACACATGTTTACACTATGAGTCGACCTGAGACCTGGTCGTTCCAGAACATGAGTATACATGCTTCGAATGACCTCCTTTTAGAGGGTCATGTTGTGAGTGACAGGCAGCCCGGGAGGGATTCCATGGACCAAGCACAGTGAGTCCCATGGATCACGCCGAGTCTCATAGATCACGCCATTCAAGTACGGCATGTCAGTGGCACTCAAGCTCTTCCAGTCAAGAGAGCTCTGTGGAGGAAGCTTCTGCATGATCTCCTTGCAGAACGGAGAACATTCTTTTTGGATGGGCTCCTGGCCTAGCTCCGTTTCGGTCAAGGTGGTTGGGGTGGGTTTGGAGGTTCAAACTACCTTCTGAGGATGTGGTTGGAGTGTTGGGGTTTGTTCATCCAAATGCTCCTTTTCTTTGGCGAGTCTTTAGAAATTCTACCCTACGAACTGGAGGCTCCATGTATACTGTATACTGTATACCTTCACAATGCGCTACAAGGACTCATTTCTTTGGGGTCACATCATTTCTTTCCTAGATAGGCCCAGGTAGCTTCACCTCGTGTTCATTTCCTTTGGCGCAAAACACACATGCACACATAAAAACAAATATTTGCATTGTAATTACTAAAACCTCTTCATAATCTTCACATAAAAGAGTCTGCACAAAAAATGGGGCGAGATATCGCAAATGTGCTGCATTGGGTGAACGCATCGCATCACTCGCGCCAAGAAACTCCGCATCCAAGTCCAAAGTCCGGCCCACATGTTAAACAACATGTTTAAACCGGTGATGGCTCTCCGTTCCATATTGAAACCTCCGAATCGTATGGAACCGTAATCTGAGGAACACATGAGTCAGTTCGGATTACCGGCTACCCGAAATCCTGGGGGCCATGTTCGACTCTCTTTTTGCACCCGAAACCGAGCACGTGTACCCGACTCTACAGGTCACCAATTGAGACCTGTCATAGGGCCTAACAACCCTCCCAAGTTGGAGACCCCGTAAAGTCAGGTGGCTCCGAGGTACTTCAAAACTCCATGCTGAAAGACAGGCCTGGAGCCTCAAGAACGAAACACATGGGTGTGCGGTCCTATACAAGCAACATGACCGGCGAATACCAGCGATTTAGCTTGGGAAAGGTCTATACCTGGAGTCGGAAAATGAGTCCAGCCGTACATGTGTCCTATTTTCTAGGGTACGAATGAAGTCGGGTCCAGAAGAAATGCAAATCTCCCTTTACAAAGCATCCGAATTCGTGTCGCGAGATCGGTTCGAGGTTCTTTGCAGTCGGTGATTTCAACTGATTTTTTTGAAGGGTCAGAACCATCCAAACGCCAAACGCGGCTTGTTCTGGGTTTCTAAGAGCTTCACTGGGAAAAACCACGGTTCATTTTAACGCAACATACACACGGGGCTTCGCGCACGGGGCCGCGTCCTGATGAAGTTTCTCTTGGACCTCCGGGTTCCTGGAGTCCCAGGGTCGTGGTCCCAACAGTTGGCCGTGCGAGGGTGGGCGATTTTGGGTTACAATGACATCAATGTGCCCGACACTGGAGGCACCGAGAAGAAGCGCCGTTCAGAACGGTCCCAGGTGTTGAAAAGCGAAGGATGAAAGGCTGGAAATCCCATCACCATTCCTACGAAAGCACACAAACAAAAAGCAGATTTAAGGCACCCATCGATGAAACGTTGTTCCCCGCCATGATTTACTGTCCCACGACACTGATGATGGCAGTGGCTCTAGCCTCAGAAGTGCGGGTTCACACATCTCTTCCCCAGTTCCTGCACTTTGCACTTTGGTTGGCAAGAACCTGGTGGTTCGTCCATGTGCTCAACGCTCAGTAAACCCACTCTTCCTGAATCATCCATCTCTTCCATTCCTCCGGGTGAACAAAGAAACCACAGATCAGATTCCTTGGGTTGCATCCGTCAGGTGTCGACTCCCTCATCAGGTTCATCAAGTAGAGCAGCCGATGGCCGATTCACAGGGAAGGGGACTGTTCATGGAAGATTGTCTCAAACTCTCCAAGAGACGTCCACCATGCCGATAAAAAACTCGAAAATACTCAAAACATTCCGGCTTCTCCCTCCACTCTCCTCTGTACCTGGACCCTTATCTACCTACATGACCGAGCTTCAACACAGTATACCCATCTCTGACACAAACAGAGGCTCCAGACCACCTGTCCTGGCGAGTTCGTATGCCATGAAGGATAAAAGACCCGCTGTGGTGTCGCGTCCTGCGGCTTCCGCCGGGTGCCGATCGTCCGTTTCGTCCACTGCCGGGTCCAGTGGGGTCGTCCCATCGTCCAAACCACCAGCTCCGTCAACTCCCAATGGTCGGTAGGGTGGCAGGGGTGCGTGGGGTGACCTTTCTGACTTCCTTATCACTTTCCTTATCCTACCTAAGTCAAAATCTAGTAACCCTACAAGGCAGCATCGTATATACATCTGAAATTTGGCCGGACCTAAGTTAGGCTGATTCTGTTTGTTGGGCAAACCGATGCCCTGGGGTCCCTTGATGTGCAAAAAAAACTTTCGTTCCCTGTTGTTTTCGAAGTACTGTGCATTGACATCCCAAAGGACTGGCCCGCAAAGAAAAAAACTGATGGAATGCAGGTTGGGGATCCTACCCAAATATGGCCACATGTCGCTAAAACAAATCCAGAGTGATCGAGTGAACTTCCGAGAAGAGTCAGAACCAACCACGTTTTACCAAAGACCAATGCCAAAAACTATATCGGATGATTCAATTATAACAAGAAGCTACTAGGGGCTCCTGGCCGTACTACTAGGAGCAAGGACGCTACTAGGGGCAAATGGACATGACGTCTCTTCAACTTCACTCACCGGAGAACGCCGGAGTGCAGCTGGCGTTCTTAAGGTGCAAAGCGTCGAGGCAGAAATCACTAGATGCATTCGTGTGATCACAGGAGGGACCAGAATGAAACACACCAGTGGATCTTTGATACCGGGTACAGCCAGGTACTATATACATTAGGAACCAGGGTTGTGGTCGGTCTACAGCTTATGCTGTTGGAATTAGTAACTACGACGATACCATATAGCATTATAGTGGTAGCTGCATCGACTGGGACATGTTTGGGAACATAAGCACTTGTTACCCGAAGCTAGTCTCCGATCCAAAGCATTGGTTGACATATATGTTGACATGTCACTCTCTTGCCACAAAAAAGGATACGATTCCTTTGTCCAGCCAAGCCACTGATTGTACTGGGGGGAAGGGGTAGAAAACGCCTGAGTAACGACGTTTTAAGCCACGCACCGATGTAATGGGTAGACATCGAACAGCTGAGTGATGGGTCAAAAGGTCCACCCAAACAACACATAACAAAAGAAAGTGAACACAATAACATCTAAGAATACAAACTTAGCACTACACCAACAAACATATAATAATAAGTAAGGTATGGCTGCGAACATCAATGAAATTCCTCAATTAATCTGCTTCAAACCCCTGATTTTGAGGTGCTCATCACCACTACGTGAGTCACCAGAACCAGCAATTGGGTGGATCCTTATCTATTATTTGAGGGGTGAAATGCCCACCGGGGACTAGAACGCCGATAATGTTGTGAAATTAAAGAACGGCACCTTTACTCAATCAACATGTAACAAACCCCTTTTCCCCCAGAAGGTCAAAAGGTGTGGGAATCAAATAGTGGTGTGAATCCTGTTAATTGGGGGGGGGGGTGAATCATGAGGAGATCCTAACGATTCTTTTTCAGGAGGGATCCCACAGACTAATCTCTTTATGAGGAGAGATCAATCGACATTGACTAATGAATTGTTAATTGGGAAAATTATGGACGATTAAAGGGGGTGAAGAAAGAGAAAAAGGGTCAATTAGTCTGGCTCCAGGCTCCTGCAGTTCATCCCTGAAAGCAAACTGTGGAACAGTAGTCTTGGAGTGAAAGGACTTTCCCAAAAAGGCATAAAAGGACCTGGAGTCTCAGTATGTTGACCTTACTAAGGGGGTCCTTAATTTATAGGCAAAAAATACTGCCCAAAAATAGATTCTAGATCGGACATGATAAGATAAGTGTGTCAAGAAGGTTTTAGATCTGGAACACTTTTTGGAACAAAACTACTCACTCCTGTCCTGCAATGATCAGGTGGAAGACCATTTGCTTGGTGAACTCGGGTGTGAAGCCACCTTGCAGAAAAAGAGCCAAGAGGTCCCTCCGGTCCTGGGCGGACAACGAATCCTATGCAGTCCTCGACCTTTTGGACACCACTGGATTCTACCCTTCCTAAGGGGGATGTGGACCGTCCACATCATGTCCATTGGTTCACCAGCAGGATTGTTGCGGGCCCGGATTTCGAGGGTGGATATCCACCATTATCCAAACAATTTTTCTGCTGGCCTAAAGCGCCTGCAGAGCAGTTTTTTGTTGGCCCAGGGCGTACAGAGTTTGTCTCAGCGAGGGGTGTCTGACATTCCACGTATACCAAACACTCCATGGCATTGCAAGGGATAATTACAAATTATCCCGGCAAGAGACCCCAAACAGTGTGTGAGTGTGTGAGGTCTAGAGTCTAGAGTTGTAAACAAATCATTGGAAAGACAATTTGCCCAGATCCGTTTTGTGTTTCAGTTTTTTTTTTTTTCGATTGTTTTTATTGACTTTTTCAAGCTGTTGATGTTGTTTGTTTTTTCGAGTTTTTGTGAATTTGATTTGCTTATTTTTGACGTTTTTTGTTTTTTTTTCGACGTTCTTTTTTTGATTTGTTTGCTTTTTTGAGCTGTGGTCTGGTTGATTTTTTTGACTCTTGTTTGACTTCTTTTACTTTTCAACTTGACTTTTTTGACTCCAAATTTTCCAGTTGGCGTAGCAGCAGAAAGTCTAGAGATCTAGACACATTGGGGTGCAAAGAGGTGATGGTGGTGATGAAGGTGGGGATCGTGGTGTGAGTGAGTGAGTGAGTGAGTGAGCGAGTGAGTGAGTGAGTGAGTGAGTGGAGGTGGGAGTGGGAGTGGGAGTGGGAGTGGGAGTGGGAGTGGGAGCGGGAGCGGGACCGGGAGCGGGAGCGGGAGTGGGAGTGGGAGTGGGAGTGTGAGTGCGAGTGCGAGAGCGAGAGCGAGAGTGAGAGTGAGTGAGAGAGTGAAAGTGGCAGAGCGAGTGAGAGAGCAAGTGTGAAAGTAAGAGTGAGAAAGTGACAGGGCGGGTGAGAGAGCGAGTGTGAGAGTGAGAATGAGAGTGGGAGTGAGTGTGAGAGTGAGAGTGATTGAGCGTGAATGTGTGAGTGAGAGTGAGTGTGAGCGTGAGCGTGTGTGAGTGTGAGTGAGACAGTGAGAGTGAGAGAGTGAGCATTTGAGAGCACAAAGTGCTGCGCCTGCCACGAAATCTAGTTAGTGCTCGGCGTGCCACTCAATCTGCACTTCAAGGTTCACAAAGTGCTGCGCCTGCCACGAAATCTGCACTTGGAGGTTCACAAAGTGCTGGGCCTGAAAGAAATCTGCACTTTGAGGTTCACACAGTGCTGTGCCTGCCACGAAATCTGCAAGCAAGCCACATGTGCAGTCACGAAATCAGAGTGCCTCGAAGATCACCACCATGTCCAAAGTGCTGCGCCTGCCACAAAATCTGCATTTGGAAGTAAAACCGCCCCGATCCCCTGCACCTGTCACCAAAACACGAGGTTCCCCTTGCGCCTGCCACGAAAAGTGACCACCATGTTCGAAAATGCCCACGGCACCACAACGAGAGGGCAGTCACGACAAGCACCCGCCGCGGCCCACCAGATTTTGCGAGCCTGCGCAGTCGAAATGCACCTCGAGGATTTTGAGAGGCATGACTGCACTGTAAATAGCAGCGAATTAGCCGCGCACGCCGGCGCAGCACCTCCGATTAGACACCGATGCTGAACAACTACCGTAAGAGCCCCTATAGTGTCTCCACACTACTTGGGGAAAATCGCAATTCAAACATGTCGTTCCTCCAAAATGGCCACCAAAACGGCCAGCGTGGCAGCTTTTGGACCGGGACGCTCATTCACTTTTTGGCCACAAAAACATTGAACTTCGTGCTCTATTTACTTACCCAAACACCCGTGTATGGTAAATGGAACATTTAGCCCTACCAGGACCCCCTTGGGATGTTTTTCAATAGCACCTCTGAAGTTGAGGGGTCTCCAATGACAGTGGGCGTGAATACAAGGTATATAAATCTGCCAGTCCCATGGAGCCTCCGGATTTTGAACTTGGACTCAGAAAGAAGACAGCAAATCTTCTCCATAGCTGCCGAAGAACCTCCCCATCAACCATATCAACCTGTTCTTTCACGCGACAGCTCTCCACATACGAGCATCCCTTTCTCAGAGGCAATCCGGTTAGATCCCGAATGCCCGGATCTGAACAGCCCTGGATTTGATCACCTTTCTTGACTTTTGCGATTGCCGAAGACAGTGTCTTGTGGCCGACCATGCAGTTAATTTCTAATTGGTGCATCGGTTCTTTGCCGCCGCCGAATTGTATAGCCTATCACATCCTCGTGAAAAGATGATGCAAAAGCTCTTGCACAGCGTGAGTGAACCACTCCGGGATCGGCTCTGACTGTTCCACACGCGGCTGCGAGACAGTAAAAGTGTCAGCCAACACTTTGCAAAACCTTAAAACTATTCTTTGAGTTGAGTGGTGTGCCACCCACCCTCTTTATTGCAGCCGACGGCTGCATGTTTAGGCAGGGGCATCGCTCGAGATCCAATGAGCATATCCTCAGCATGCATGCGAAAGGTAGGTCCGTCGGCATAATGGACATGGTTGTGTTCCGAACCTGCGGATATCCAAGAAAAGTCCTCGCAACCGCAAGTCGCCAATTGCAGGATGGTGCAAATCGTCACTGATCCCTGCAGGGTGCTATAATCATCGTTGTAGGAGTGGACACACCACTGCCAAACGTAGTGAGATACTCAGCAGCAGGGACCATGCAAATTACACTTGCTGATCTTCACGACGATTCAGGTCAGGCAGCTCTTCAGGCATTTCCATGGACCGGGCAGGTCGGGCTTCCAGCCTGTGTTGACGAGCTCGTGACCACACGTCGCATGGTGGCCGCGCCATGAGGCCAGCAAGACCCCACGGCGGATAGCTCTGCTAAAAAATTGCATGTCTCAGGGCGTGCTGAATCGCCATAATAAGGCTGTGTATATTATAATGATAGGATGCGGCGTCGGCGTCTCGTTTCTCCAAGCTCTGTATAGATCACCCGGCCGGCGCCTGCCGGAAAAGATGTGCGAAAAAGCGAGGTGCATAAGCGACATTCCGTCGAAAGGTGAATTTTATAATGCGTGACACCTCAGGGACCCATCCAATATATACGCGTCTGCGCACGTGTGGGACGGGTCCTGTCTGCTCAACTGTCAGTTCGACAATCAGGGTTGATTGCAAAAAAAAGTTTCTCTCGTTCTGCACGCTGAAATGGATCGAGTTGAAGCATACGGCAAAATTGTGGCTTTGGCCCTTCAGCCTGAACATACGGCATTCGATATCGGTTTTGGTTATCGTTATTGGGTCGGCTGTTAACGCCTGGTTCTGCCTCAACAAGTCTTTGCCGGGTCACGATAAACATCAAGGCAGGCAGCCTTATGCTTGACATGGTGGATAAGGTCAACATGACTAGGCAGATTTTAACATGTCCTACTTTGGACAAACTGGCGCGCAACATTTACTTGCTCGCGCTGCTTGAAAGCATGTACAGCTAGGGCCGCTACCTCGAAAGAGTCTGCGGCAGGCACAAGACAAACATGCTCATTGGCAGGCATCTCATTTCCACGAAGCATCGAGCATGGCATGCTCTTTCATGAAGGAAACACTTTCGCTATTCCAAAGATTCCAGTCAAACATTCTTCGAGTCCGCGCCGGCGTCGCGCCGATGCTCGTTTCAAAGAGAGATGTCCACTGTTTCGGAGCCTCTGACCAATAGACAAAGTCAGTCCAAAACCAGTGTCTCGCGTGCTGGACAGGAGCCCTATAGGCTGGTACAATTCTGTCTAAATGGGCAAGAACGCCACATATAGTGTAATCATCAGGCCGGATTTTGTAAAACCTGCGCAGGAGCTCGCAGTAACCTTCTGGCACCACTCTGCTAGCCACCACTCCCATGCCAGAGGATGTGAGAGCTCAAGTGGCTTCGCAGCGCGGAGTTGAGTCCCTCAATGCGTTGGGCTAACGCGGCGACACCGGCTTCTTCCCCATCGAAAACGCACCTCGATATGTCTTCATCAACAAAAAGACCTCGATAGCTGCATCGAGGAAATTGGAGACTAACTGGGGAGTATGCCAGCGATGCCGTACGCACGGGAGTAAAGTGCCGCCACTCTCACCTTCTGCAAGACATCGCTCTTTGCGTTGTTGCATGCGTCAATGGTGTTTGCTGCACTACTAATCCCCCAATTTTCCAACATGCGTGGTACATCGGGGCACCATTCGCCAGTCAATTTGCCTTCTTCACAACAGTAATGGGTTCCGCAGAACTCCGCCTTGCCTTCAAACTGCGGCAACTTTTTTTCATATTGTGGCCAGCGCGGGTCCAAAAGGAAAGGAATAATTCGACAAACTTGCGTCATCACGTATGGGTGGGGAAATCCTGCACAAGGAGCCATCCCCTTCAAATAAACCTTTCCACCAACGCCACTGGCCGAAGATGTCATGGAACTTGCGACGGATTGAGAGAGATTGACGGATCCTGTGCCATGGAAGCTGTCCAACAAACGAAATTGATCCACCAATTCAAACAACCGGTGCCGCGATGTCCAGACCTCTTAAAAGCATCTATCATCATCTATCTATAAGAGCGAATATCTTGAAGACGTGAGCTTTGAGCTTGTTTCCCCAGGACAGCTTGAAGGATTTCTTGCTGTTCACTGCCTGATGTGCCTGTGCCCAACTCTCTGGCAGCATGCATCTTTGACTGAACACACGAGCAATGTACGCCAAGACAGGGTTCTCGATGAGATCACGTAACTTCTGGCTGCAGCACGTGTCCCACGCTGATCCATCCCCCTCTATAAGCTCGCCTTTATTCTTGCCATCCACCTTGGCAAGATATTTGTCACTCTGTTCAATGCATCTTTGCGGGGGGCGTGCTTGATGGATCTCTCTTCTTGCCTCATAAACAGGCAGTGTTCAAAAATGGCGATAGTCAAGGGAGCGAGATCCTGTCCGGGATCACCGTCAGCACTCAAAATACGTGGCGGTTTTGGCGTGCCATCAGGTTTTGTGCCTGCGGGCTCAAGTTTGATCTTCGACTTGAGGCGGAATTGCGGGTTTGACTGCTGGAGCAACTTCTCGAACTCATGCTCCCAACGGTCACAGCCCCATTTCTTGGACTTTGCATTAGGATTTGATCACCGGCTGAACAAAAAGAGTTTGGTAACACGGGCAGCAGAACATCTCTGCATGTTGATTTGCAAGTGCACACACACATCAAAAACAAGCATGAATCAAGGTCCCTGAATATCTGCTTAAATGCTATTGCACGCTATTGCTATCTATTGCTCTTTCCTCCATTACCATCTCAAATAAACCTCATTGGAGACCATCCGCCATCGAGCTATGTTGATTATGTTGGAGCAGTGGAAGCTACACCTGCTACTGTAAAAATGAGCGATGAAGCTTTGATCACTTTGCTATGTTTTGCTAGCACCGGCTCGAATCAGAATAGTTCCAATGCACGACCACTTCCATTCCCTCTTGGAACGAAGCCTCAAAAGAACCTCATCATCCAGCAGTTCCAAATCGGAATGATTTTTAGTCACATCCAGTAAGTTGATGTGACAGTGGCACCCCTACCCTCAAAAAACCAAACATGGAACTCCTGAATAACAAATGCTTATAACGTTGGGTACAGTCCAAACGCTCCTAGACCAGGATCGGTCCCGAATCGGGTCTCGGCTTGAAGCATCGCAGTTTCGGGTGCTCCACGATCCACTCGATGGGACTAAGAACCCTAAGGGTCCAGGACCATCCGAATCGGATGATCCTTTGACCCCCCAAGACCATTCTCTGGAAGTACTTTCACCTCCAAGACTCCAAGACCATCCTCAGGAGGTACCTGGACCCTATGGGGAACCGTTCCGACATGGAACTGCGCTGCATGGCATACCAATATGTGGTTCCTACAACCTTGGACTGCCGACGCCTATGAAGATTGCCCTCGTCCAAGTCTCTGCCAAGTTGGGATCCTCTTGAGCCTTCCGTACCTGGCGATGGTTTTCACGATGAAACAGGCTGAACTGTGCAAAACCGAGATCTAGCAGACCCCTAAACCCTAAAGCACACACGGAAGATCGATAGATTGGATCCGAGTTCACTCGTAGAAAACGGGACATGACCCTATATTGTATGTTCCGAGGTACATCGAGACTCAACATATATACAGTAAGGATGGACTAGAGCTCCCTCCACTTTTCGTCGATTTGGCCTTTCTTGGGGCGGGGTCCAACGGGTCCAACTATTATAGGTCTCCCAAGTTGGCTCGCTTGGATTCTTACGAAACCCCCCACGCTCTAAGACCCCAGACCGACCGAATCCGCTGCCACCGGACCCTGTCCTCGGACCCTCCCGAAGTCGCCGACATCGGAGGGTACCGGCTGTGGGTCAAAAGCAGGAGACCGAGCGGTTAAGCTCCCAGCCAGGTCAACCTCCGGGAGCTGGTTTTGACCCATCCCCATCTGTTGATTCATAGTGAACGCTAAGGGTCCAGGACCATCCGAATCGGATGATCCTTTGACCCCCCAAGACCATTCTCTGGAAGTACTTTCACCTCCAAGACCATCCTCAGGAGGTACCTGGACCCTATGGGGAAGGGTTGGTGGTTCAGGCACATTCAATACGAAGGACATGCATGCAATACCCATGGAGAATGCTGAGCGAAAGGCACCCCCCGTCCGACGCTGCAACGCTCGGTCTGAAAGGAGCTTTGAGGGGCACTTTGGGGTGTGAACATGTGTGAACTCTTCGCCAAGCTGTCATTGATGGATCCTTCCATGAGTTTCCTGTGAGCAGTGCCTGGAATCGCCCAAAGAAGTACCTGGAAATCACACTGACTTCCTCCGCCACAGTTAGACTCCAGAGAGCTACCAAACGGAGAGACTCCCTCCCGCCCGCCCAAGGGCGAGAGTGTCCGACGCGGAGACGAGTCGCCAAACGGTTTGACTCGGAGTCCAGGATCTTGCAGCAGCGTTTCCTGACGATCCGTTCGGAACACCAGCACCTAGATGGGACTGCCATATACACCAATCAGGCCAAGGATGGGTTGAAACAGGGGTCAATCAATCGAACTGCATGGAACGTTTGATCTACCTGGAGTCTCAGTTCGTAGCTCGGAAAATGCGGTGCAGTACCTGCATTTCTATAAAGCCATGTAAAGGCCATTGGATCATGTCCCATTTTCAAGGGTACCAACCAAGTCGGGTCCAGGATTGCCAGTCCCATCGGTCGTGTTTCAAGATTGGACCAGGTCAAACGAGAGAAGAACCCCCGTTGCGACGGGAATGCCCATGGGTACCGTGCGGGCTGTTCGATCTGGCTTCAAACATGTTCGCCCCATTGCACTCGCAGGTTAATACATCTAGCGCGAGGATCATCTTTGAGTGTCTGCGATGGCTTCCCCAAAGTCTAAAGATTTCATGGCAGAGTTGAGCCCACTCACAAGCAGCAATCGTTACAAAATTATACGGCTGTGTAATACGAATGAAAAGCAGAGTCAATGAACAAAGCTTCCAACAAGTACGGAGAAAATACTGGACACAAAGTCCAAAACATGGCAGACCATGGCAGACTTTGATTCAACTCACCTGCCAAAAAACAAAAAAAACTGACTAGTCTCAACTCCAAGACCGATCTGACCTATTCTGGACCGACCTCATGCGCCCGAGACCGCAGACCGTCATGAGGTTGTCCCCAAGACACAAGTCATCCAATACACATGGCTGGCTGTCTGTGAAAACCACATGCCCGTGGCAAACATCAAAAATACTGAAAATAGAATGACATAAACAAAAAATATATACAATAGTCTAATGGTCCAAGTCTATCTATACTGTCTGTACTTTTAAAACAAACGCTACAACCCAATGGTTGGAGGCATTCCCAAAATTGACCTTCATCCACCAAATCCACCCTAACAAAAGGAGGATGAAGGTCTTAATATGTCTTTATATGTCTTTATAGATCCCCATGGATTATCCCAAAAAAACAAAAACCATGGCCCACCAAAATATAGGTGACTTGCAGCACTTTGTGAACTTGCGAATCCAGCTGTCTTCACTCGCACGGGTCTGACCCGGGACCCATTCTCTGCGCTTGTGAGATCACACCAAGCGTCAGTTCTCTGTAGAGCGGACTGCACCAGTCCTAAGAGATCTGCTCGGAACCAAAATGGACTCTGACTCTATCAGTTTCCCTTGAAAAAATGGCTCACCTTAAAGGGTTAAAGGTTATCCCCGGACTGGCTAGGGTTTGCCGATCGGTTCCTGACCCCACATCGAAGGTAGGGACCGACCATCCCCTCACCCACCCCAACCACCGAACCTGAGGATGTGGGACGGGAGCCCTATATATAGAGATTTTCACAGAGTCAAAGCAATCCTCGCGAATCTCAAAGCCCATCTCCACCACCCCTGACCCCACCACTGCAACTTTCCAGCTTGCAATCTATCGGGCCCGATGTTGAAAGGGACACATCTAAGATCACATGGCCCAAAGTGTCATACTTCTGGCACCTTCTTGAGTTTCCGACCATCTCCCCATCCACCGATTGATGACACAAACATAGATTGAAACATCTACAGGTCATACCCAGTGCTGGCCGCTGGCCCTGGCGCAACCAAGAGTCCCACAGAGCTCTCGCGAGCCCACCATGGGCCCCACCAAAGGGCCACGGGAGGAAAGCGCTGCACATACTCAGCACGGTGGCCACACCAAGAAAGCATCGCACCGGGGAGATCAGACAACTCCATGGGCTGGTATATATGCCGATGTTGGGAGTCAAGGTACCCTGGAACATGGATACAAACAACATCAAACAACTGTGTTGTAAAATAAGGTAATGTCCCATCTTTTAGGGTACGAACAAAGTCGGGTCCAGGTTCACTGACCCCAAGTCAACCACTCCATGTAAGTAAATATGCCATACGTGGAGCGTTTGGAGACTATGAACTGGAGTCAATGGTGAGCCTGGCAAGTAGCTACCTGGACCCTTCATCTGATCACCAACGGAGGGTCTCGAGGTACTTGGAGCAAAGTATCTTTGGGAAGAAACCAGCCTGATCGAGCATCGAGGCTGCTTCACTACAAAGACATGATACATCATGGTACCACTTGATTCACAAAGTTTCTCACGCACTCAGCAGGTCTGAACTCAAGAAGGCCACTTGCTATATTAGCCCCACCAAGGAAGGATGGTCAATCATCAATAAACAAGAGCTACCGTAACACGAGTGTCCAAGTGCCAGGTCCCTCCAAGCATATTCAAAACCTACAAGTCAAAGACCTCATTTTACTGGAGATGGTCATACAAAACCAATACTTAAGGAGGTAAAAAAACTGGTTTTACTGGGTCTTTGGACTTGTAAGGTAACATAACTATTCATATAATATATATATATATTCTAATGTTACAACTATAACTACTTGCCGGGTCATGTCTCCTCATGTCCATGGCTACTTTGGAGACTCCCAGGAGGCTAGAACCTCACATCATACAGTATTTGGACGAAAACAACCGTGTTTTTTGAACGAGCAGGCGCCATCTGAGAAAACCTCTCAGAGCCAAGAGTCAAGAAGGCCGCCAAAGAGCTGTTTGCATGGATTCGCGTGCAAACATTGGCACGATCAAACGCCTGCTTTGGGCGTGTGGATCGCTTGTTGCCAACGAATCCTCCAAATCGCAATCCACGAAGAAAACACTTCACAGCTGGTCTTTGAGCTGGGTCGCCCGAATTCGGGAACGGAATCCGCGGTTATTTCTTTTGAGAGACACACACACACACACCCGCGCACAAACACACACACACACACACACCCTCAACAAACCAGCCTTGCCGTAGACGTTGGGCACACCTTCTGCGGTGTTGCTCTGCTCGCCGAAGAAGATGTCCATAATGCTATCGAAGGTAAAGTTGAAGAAACATGCCCTGGGCAGCTGAAGAAACGTCATCCCTCTTTGGGAAGTCTGCATAACAACAAAGCTGATTAACATACAAACTCAGGAAAGTGGAAGGCTGGGTAAAGTCAAAGAGTCAACAAACAAGGCAACTGTGCAAAGCACGCTATTCTGTGGTTCGATCGTGGTTTAACCTGGAGAGTGTTTACAATTTGCACATCCGCTGCCTTTGGTCTTGGTAAGTGTTGGCTCTATCAATCTGAAGCTAGCGTTTCAACAAACAAAACATCCATACACCAACATCTATGAGCATCTTCTCGCCAAGTTGTCTGAGCGCTCTTGCTTGTGTAGCCAAGGTCGACCCGGGTGGCCGGGTCGACCAGTCACGTCTTTCGAGCTTGGGGGTCGACAGGCCAAGACCAAAGCACAACTAGACCAGACCCCAAAAGTTATTGGGTCGATCCTCGTTGATCAACCCATCACCTTTTGCTCCGGCTGATTCAAGTTCTGAAAAGAACACCAGTGGAAGAGTAGTCCTGGAGTGAACGGACTTTCCCATATAGGATTTTAACAACAAAAGAGATTGTGAATGGAATCTGTTTAGACTCCTGGGGGAGAAAAAACCTCCTATCATACCTATAGAGATGAGCTTTTACAGTTTTATCGCCTTGGCAACTTGACTCAGAAAGAAACTTCACCTCGCAAACTTGTCACAAACCATCCGAGCCAGAGATAGGCAGACCCTGGAGTTGGATCTTTCGTCGGAACGCGAAGAATCCAATGCCGGACGTTGGGGGATCGCTTTCGACATCGTTGAGATAGATTTCCGCATAAAGGGTCTTGGAGTCCTGGAGTCTCAGTGACCTCCAACAATGAGTCAGTCCCTACAAGTCAATGACCCCCTCATTTTACTGAAGTTGGTCATACACAAACACTAGTCGAGGAAGGACCAGGTTTTTTGGGGTCTTTGGACTTGTTCTCCGTACTTGCTAGTACCTGTTACTGTACCTGTCTACAAAGCCATGTCCCAATTTCTAGGGAGCTTTGGAGGTCCAGGTAAATAAGGAAAGGATTTGGGTCAGCCGAGTGGCTGGATGTCCACTGGCTTGTCTCCCTGCTTCTGCAGAAACTTCCGAAGCTGCTCCGACTTCGACACAAACACCTGGCATGCGAGATCCGTATCATCATCATCATCATCATCATCATCATCATCATCATC